CCACTCTTTATCATTTACTCTATCCCTGTGACAATCATGTCTTACTTTTTTATAGCTTATTTCCCTCCATTTAAAAAGGTAACATGTTTATGCTGCTTTTTCTTGATTTTTTCAATTTCAGATATTTTCATTAATCTCATATTGTGGATGATGAAAGTTTAACTGTCTTTCATCCCTATCCCACTTTTCATGCATACTTTACTTCCTTCGTTTTCTCAGTGAACTGAGAGAATGTAACAATTGCTCACCCTAAAATAAAGACACTTTTAAAGGGCGTAAATCCAAAGGACAGAGGCAGGTGGATTCACTGTGAAACTAATGAAACCTAAGGTTCAGAGCACTCTGGGAGGTCTAGCAATGTATCCATGTTGTCATATATTTTTGCAAGATTTGCCAAAGTAAGCCTTTTGTTTTTGTTTAATTTAAAATGCTGTGTCTTTCTACTCTGACTTCCCTTCACCAGTGTGCCTTATATTTGATGGTGACTATGGTCATTTTTGAGATCGGGTTAAGGAAGTTTATTTGCTTCAGGATGCATATTCCTGTGTTCCTTTTTCCTTCTACTTGAAAAGTAAGAAGTAGAATTCTCTTTTCATATTTCGTCATCTAAAAATAAGAAAACCTGAATATATACATTAGCTGGTAAAGTAGCCTTGGAATCACCTTTCCCATTGGTCCACTGACAGAATTTTAGTTCTTATCTGTACACCTGTTCCTAGATATTTGGTGTCAAATAGCTAAATCATTTCAAATAAACAACTCAGCTTTCAATCTTTCAGGCAGATACTGTGGAAAGAATCTCTCTGGATTTGACAGCAACTTGAATTTCAATGATTTGTACTGTTGGTAAATTATTCCATTCGCTGTGATACATTCATGCTGGGAGAGAAAATGTAATGTGCCTATCTCAACCTCCCCACGTACAACAGCACTGATTATTGGTATTGACCCCTTCCTTTTCCATCATTCTTCTGCACTGCAATGAAATCAGTTTCAAAAGCTTTCAAATAGATTTTTATTTACTGAAGACTTTTGGCAACTGCTATCTGTTTTATTCTATGCTTTTACTTCATTAAATAATTATACTGCTTTATTGTTTATTATATTCCTATATCAAATGTGTTGGGGATTAGGAAGGCAGTGTTTACAACATACTCTTTATAGCTAATTTAGGTAACCTATTGTTGATTTTTCTTTGCAGTATTTTCATTGACTTTTCTTGTTAGAATACCTTTCTTCTTGGCACATTCCAGTTGTAACACAGTCTCTCTTTGTCCCTTTTATGAACATGTCAGTAGGATAGCTCTAATATTTCCTTGAAGTTCACCCACATTATAGCATTTTGGTTATATTTCCTTTTGTCTGAATTACTTCTTTGAATAAAAATGACTTTTCACAATCTGATCAGGAAAAAATATACTGAAAGATAATGTGATTGATTGATAGACATGATGGTTTTATCACTCTGATTGCCATGTAAGTGGTCCACAGCAAATGCTTAGTCTCAGGACAGATACTCTTGAACCAGGGACTAATTAAAGCAGTGATCAGAATATTTCTCAGATTATTTTCTTATGTATTTAAAGTGTGAATTGACATGACCAGGGAACACTCCCATCCTCCCAGTCCACCTCCCACTCACCCCTACCTTCATATATATATAACCCTTCCATGATATCTTCTCTGATGTTTTATCTTAACAAAAGGTATAGCTCTGTATCTTGAATACAGAGACAACTAGTACCTATGTAACACTGTGGTCATGATACAGATAAGGACTGAAGCTGACAAGCTCTAGGCTGTAAACAGCCCAATAGGAACACTGTACAACCTCTCCAACTTTTGGCAGGATTCAATACTGTGAAATTAGCATATTACAGCACTTCACTTTTAAGTAATGTAATAATCTCCAGGATGCTTATTTAGAAGGGAACAGCTTTACGTAATTGATCGCCAATCTTAAACTAAAGCTCATTATCAGAACAAACTCATACTCTTCTATGAACACATAAACCCACTTGGCCTTTTGGGCATAACTGGGCAGGAAATGACATGCTACTGACAGAATCCTATTACTTACATTCCAAGACCACACACAGAAAATAATTATAACTGATCACTGATTGAATCCTGTGTGTCATGTTTGCTTCACAGGTTAATTTTATTTGGAATAGTATTTTGTAATAAACTATCAGAATTATCCAAAGTATTACGTGCTCTTTTTACAAATCTCTGTGATTTTTTTGTAATTATGGCCAAGCCTTTGGTCTTAACGGGGATGCATTGCTAATAACTTGCCATAGCACTTATTGTGTTCCAAACATAAGCAGTAATTTCTGGCACAAAGCAGGATTCCTTCTTTTCAGTCAAGCATACCAACCATCCTGGGATCTCTTTATTCCTGTGTCCTTTACCTTTAGCCTGAGACTCTTGCCTGAGAACAATTCAAATCTGGAGACCTTTAGAGTAACTGTTTGATGGCATCCTTGGGGAACTAAGCCACAGTTGAGGGAAAAAAGAACCATGGGTATGGAGGTTCCCTTAAAAAACTAAAAATAGAGTTACTATATGATCCATCAATCCCACTCCTGAGCATATATCTGGAAAAGGACTCTAATTCAAAGGTACATGCAACTCAGTGTTCATTTCAGCACTATTTACAACAGTCAAGACATGGAAGCAAACTAAATGTCCATCAACAGATGAATGGACAAAGAAGATGTGGTATACACATGCACCCACACACATACATATATATAATGGAATATTTACTCAGCCATAAAAAAATAAAACAATGCTATTTGCAGTCACATGGATGGACTTAGAGATTATCACAATAAGAACATCAGACAAAGACAAATATATGAAATTACTTATGTGGAATCTAATAAAATGATACAAATGAACTTATTTACAAAACAGAAACAGACTTACAGACATAGAAAACAAACTTGTGATTACCAAAGAGAAAAAGGAGAGGAGGGAGAGGGATAAACTACAAGTTTAGTATTAACAGATACACACTACTATATATAAAATAGATAAACAGCAAGTACTTACCGCATAGCACAGGGAACTATAGTCAATATCTTATAACAACCTGTAATGGAAAAGAGTCTGAAAAGAATATATATGTGAATAATTGAATATACATATAACTGAATCACTTTACTGTACACTTGAAACATTGTAAATCAACTCTCTCTCTCTCTTTTTTTTTTTAAAAAAGAACTATGGTTGGTTTGAGTCAATTGATGCTATGGAAAAGAAGTGGAAAAAAGAATATAAGTCTTTCCACTGTGAAGAAACAGTTCACACTAGGATAGAAGTGGGTAACAGTGGTGGGGAATGAGGTAATTTTAAGACACTCTTGAGGCAAAAATTAATATTCTCCAAAGTATTTTGGTAACAAGCACATTTAAAATTTTCCTGTGTAAGTGGGTTTTTGCAAATCAAAAACTAAGCCCAGAGGTCTGAAATTATGGGAACAAATCTAGTTTGTTTTATATGGTTTCCATAAACCTTAAAATATTACTGTGAGAGGAAGAAAAGTTCATGGCTTTAATCTATCAGCATCACTGCGTGGTAGATTTAGAAGGCCTTATAGGATATCTTAGGGTTCTCAGACAAGATGAAGCCACTTCCTTCCTTTATATGACAGGTAAACAGGCATTCCTTGGATTGCACAAAGTTTAAGGATTGTAGTCTAAAGGAAAGTGGCTAGACATTTTGCACAAAATAATGATATTGAATTTGCAGCTAAATGGGTTCGGACTTGGTTGGAAGCTGGCTGGGCAATGAATTGAGTGCGTCTGTCCTTTACAGATGATTTCTCTACAAAAGTAGCTGGCGGCGGAGATGTGGTCTTGTTTGAGTTCAGTCTCACATCAGTGAAAGACTCTAGAAAATACAGGGAACTAGTGAAAAAAAGATGTGTTCTTTGGGGATATCACAAAATGTTTACTTCAGCTCTTTCTTTAATCCAGTAAAAGTATTGGCAAAATGTTTGGTATTTGAGGCACGGTGGTGGGAGTTCAGTCACGATGTAACTAAAGATGGTGGGAAAACCAGTTTGAATAAAATGAGTTCCAATTTGAACCTTTGCCCGTGCCTGGAACTAAAACTAAGTCAACCCACTGTTAAGTATCAAAAATGTTGAGTCATTAGCCTCATTTTTCTTTCATCTGTTTCAGAATATTTATATGTATCTGCTTTTCTTTATACTCTTAAAAAATAGACTGGCTTGTGGTTTATCAGGTGCAGTTCTTAGCTTGCCCTACATCCACCTGAACTTTAAAGGGATAAATATTAAATAAAAATTCTTATCAAAATATACTGACAAATTCAGTTTTTATTTGGTTCCCAATATACTTCTCAGAACTCTTCTATGATTGTTTATATATATTCTGGAAACAGTTAACTGCAATGAAATCTGCTTCGGTGGGTTTCATTTTAGAGACCATTGAATAACGGAAGGCTGAAACATACTTAGCATGAGTCCCAAAGCCACTGAGTAACCACGAATTTTTCAGCACCGCAAAATAAAGCTTTTCAGTTCATCTAATTCTGTCTCCCTCTTTCCTTTTTCACATGAGAATATTACTTTTCCAACTTTTTTATTTCCCTTTTGATCCCCTCAGAGAGGCAAGCTATCTCAGAGAAAATCTGCCCCAATCTGAGATAATGACCACTACAAAAACCCTTATCAGAATTGGGTAGAGAGAACTTAACTGTGTGAAAGAGAACCTCAATGGGGGAAATGATTAATTCATGCCAAAAGCAGGACTAAAGTTATTGACATATGTCTCCGCATATGTGAAGCAGCCATCCATTAATCAGTCTGAAGAATCCCTTCGAAGAAGTACTGTCCATTAAAAGGATGACTACATCTTCTGAATAGAGAAGGTATAAAGGGATTTAGGGGGTCAGAGGTGTTCATTGCTTTTTATAGAAATAGGCTCATTTGGCGGGACTTCCGGCCGGCCGCACCCCACGTGCTTCCGCCCTGCCCCGGCCGCGCGCGCGGAACTAGGAGGCCCGCAGGAGATCTCTTCCAGGGCGCAGGGCTGAGATTGACCCACTCAGGGCCCAGTGGCTGGCCACAGAGCTGGAGGTAGAGATGATGGCCGACATGTACAACAGAACGACCAGTGCCTGCCACCGGAAGTGCGTGCCTCCCCATTACAAGGAAGCAGAGCTGTCCAAGGGCGAGTCCGTGTGCCTGCACCGCTGTGTCTCCAAGTACCTGGACATCCGTGAGCGGATGGGCAAGAAGTTGACAGGGTTGTCTGTGCGGGATGAGGAGCTGATGAAGAGGGTGCAGCAGGGTTCGGGGCCTGTGTGAGGCGCCCGACAGCACACCCTAAGATGCACCCCATCCCTTCCCACTTGTCTAATAAGAGCGCCCCCCTGTTGGGTGTCGTCTGTGAAGACTGCCAGGCCTGGGCTCCTTCCCGAGAGTCTCCAGAAGCCTGGAGTATGATGGAGCCCTTTCCCGGGCGGAGAAGGGTATCTGTCACAATGGCCTGTGACTATGTGTGTGAGTGTATATATATACTATATATTAAAACAAGTTTGTTGACACACACACACACACACAAAAGAAAGAAATAGGCTCATTTATAGCCAATCTTACTTTAGCAAAGTAAGATGCCATGAAATCCCACCTCCCTCTCTGCCACACACATGTGCCTGTGTTTTGCATGCACCCACCCACACACACAAGAATATTACTCAACCCTAAAAGAAGAATGAAGTCTTGCCATTTGCAACAACATGGCTGGACTTAGATAAGTAAAATAAGTCAGACAGAGAAAGACAAATACCATATGATTTTAACTATATGCAGAATCCAAGAAAAACCAAACAATAAGCAGGAAACAGAAAGAGTCGTAGGCAGAGAAAACAAACCAGTGGTTGCTAAGATGGGAGCTGGGGAAAAGTGAAATAGGTTAATATATATATATATTTATATATACTTATCCCCAACTTCTGGGACAATAAGAAGATTTATAATTTAATTATATTACATTATATATTAATATAAATATATATAATAATATATACATAAACATACATTATCTGATTACAAATCTTCCTATTATCCTCAGAAGTTGGGAATAAGAATCACCTATATTACAAGCTTTTTGTCTTGTGGCAATAGAGATTTTATTCTGTACATGGGGAACAAGAATTGGCTTGCAGTAAACCAAATCCATGGTAGAGAACATTTTCTAACAGAGTCCCATTGTATTCAGAAATCAAGATCACTAATAAAGACTCCAATAGAAACTATTCAACCTCCCGTTCAAATATTTTCTAAATTATTGGTCTCTCAGTGAGAACATTTTCCTTTGGCATAAACAGTGGCCATGAATAGGATGAGTGTTTGAACAGTACAAAAGTACCAGGTTTCTTCCTGTTACCCAAACAGCAATAAACACCACTGGTACAGAACCCACAGAGCAGCCTTGGTCACACAATGGGGCTTACACACGAGGGGCCAATTCTCTGATAACATGAATGTCCCAGCTGGGGAGACACCAACAGCCAAAGTTAACAGTCGCAAAAGAGCCATTGAAAAAAATGGAAGGGGTCCTTTTCCCTCCAAAGTCATCGCAGAATCCCAGAGAGCTACATCTGGGTGTCTGGGAATGAATCAAGTTATTGTATTAAATTGCTGAACACATGCTCTGTTACCCTTCCCCACCCCTACAACCAGTTCCCAGGGACACTGTCCTAATTTATTTATCTTATCAAGGCCACCTGTCTGTACATGTCAGTGTCAGTGATGGAAGAAAACAAGGAATGAGTCTTTAAAAACCCTCAAGAACCCCTGATTGTCTTTTCCTCCTTTCTTTCCTTCTTCCTTTTTTTCTTTTCTGGCCATGACATGTGGCTTGCCGGATTTTAGTTCCTACACCAAGTATCGTACCTGCGCCCCAACAGTGAAAGTGCCAAGTCCTAACCACTTTCGGACCACCAGGAAATTCCTAATAACCTCTGATTTTCTTCAAAGTCATTTGAAAGAAGTTAAGTGCAGAAATGATGACATAATCTTTATTTATTGTTTTTCTCACTATTTTGCAATTTCTATTTTTATTTTCTGTTCTTCAAATTTTATTTATTTATTTATAATATATTTTAATTGGAGGCTAATTACTTTACAATATTGTATTGGTTTTGCCATACATTGACATGAATCTGCCATGGGTATACATGTGTTTCCCATCCTGAACTCCCCTCCCACCTCCCCTCCCCATCCCATCCCTCTGGGCTGGTGCACTGGGATGACCTAAGTTTTTAAAAAGCATGAAGCACTGAGATATATCTTTTAAATATATTATGTGTGTGTGTGTGTGTGTGTGTGTATAAACTCCAGAGGTAGCTGTCATGATTTTCTCCACTTTTTCAAATGGGGAACTTAGTCATAGAGATGTTAAATGAAAGATTTGTGACTGGGATGTCAGCTCACATGTGTCTGGTTCCTGATTTTCTTCTGGGAATTAGGAAGATGACAACTAGAACAGTGACTTTCACACTTTATTTTTTGGACTGCAATTCACAAGAAGAAATTATTTTATACTGAAACCTAGAATACAATTCAGTGCATGCATGTATGTGTGTGTGGTGTGTGTAACAAAAGTTTTATGAGATAATAAGCTTTCCTGCAGGCTGAGAACATGAATATTTCTTATTTATTCTCTGTAAAGAGAAAAAATGCTATAATGATCTACTAAGCTGGTTTTACTCTATGAATCTCAAATAGGTCTTGAGTCAGATTTAAAAGACACTTCACAATATCTCCATCAAATGGCCTTGTGTGAACAGCCCTGTTACAGGAATCTGATTTCTTTGTAACTATTTCATTTCTGAACATGTCTATGTGTGAAAGCAGGTCTATGTTTCTGCTATTTCCATGATAGCCTTCTAGATCCTAGGAAAGACTATCAAATCTCTCAAGAGTTCTCTCCTCTCTAAACTGGATACTCTCACTTTCTTTATTCCTTGTATGATAGATAGTAGGTCCCCTACATACGAACAAGTTCCATTCTGAGAGTTCATTTGTAAGTCCAATTTGTTCATAAATCCAACAAAGTTAGCCTAGGTACCCAACTAACACAACTGGCTATATAGTACTGTACTGTAATAGGCTTATAACACTTTTTTTCACAGGGTTTCCTTTGTGACTCAACTGGTTAAGAAACTGCCCACAATGCAGGAGACCGGCATTTGTTCCCTGGGTTGGGAAGATCCCCTGGAGAAGGGAAAGGCTACCCACTCCAATATTCTTGCCTGGAGAATTCCGTGGACTGTACAGTCCGTGGGGTCACAAAGAGTTGGACATGACTGAGTGACTTTAATACATGCACTTTTCTCACAAATAATATATAAAAAAGCAAACAGAAAAAAAGTGTTTCTTTTTTATCTCACAGTACAGTACCTTGAAAAATACAGTAGTACGGTACAACAGCTGTCACACACAGGCTGGCATTGAGTGAACAGGCAAGAAGAGTTATTGACTGGAGGAGGGAGGGGGTGGGAGACGGTAGAACTGAAGGACTGTCAGCAATAGAAGATGGGGGGCAAGCTGCAATGTCACTCACCCCTGACTTTGCTAGTATGGGCTCTGGTTCCTTGCTGAATTCAAATCTATCTACTCTCTTGGAACAAATGATCCAGTGGTGTCTGGGTGCTATGCTGTGCTTAGTCGCTCAGTCATATCCAACTCTTTGCTACCCCCAGGGACTATAGCCTGCCAGGCTCCTCTGTCCATGGGGACTCTCCAGGCAAGTATACTGGAGTGGGTTGTCATGCCCTCTTCCAGGGGGTCTTCCCAACCCAGGGATTGAACTCAGGTCTCTCATGTTGCGGGTAGATTCTTTACTGTCTGAGCTACCAGGAAAGCCCTGGGTAGCAACTCCCTTATTCTCATCATAGATGACACAGTATCATTGGATTGTATTCTGAATCGCTGCTGCAACCTTCATGTACCATTCTACATTTTGTTCCTATGCCTCAAATACTAACAATACCTCCTCAAATAAAGAAAATCCCCTTGCCATTTCCTGCACCATGAATCTCTTTGATTCTTCAGTTGCTTCTTTTTCCTCTTGTGTCTCTTTGTCCTTTCTCTGGACCTCCCATTCCAACAGGTCTTCATTAGTAAGCTTCATGTTTGCATCTTTGAAAGTTCACAATTTGAAGGTTCATATATAGGGGACTTATTATAATTTCTATTCTTCCCACTCATCTTAGAATACACACCACTTTAAGATACTCCAGCTATATGATCAGGACTCCAACCCTTTGTTTTAAATATCAAACCTATATTGGAATTAAAAACAAAAATAGACAAATGGGACCTAATTAAAATTAAAAGCTTTTGCACAACAAAGGAAACTACAAGCAATGTGAAAAGACAGCCTTCAGAATGGGAGAAAATGATAGCAAAGGAAGCAACTGACAAAGAATTAATCTCAAAAATATAGAAGCAACTCCTGGAGCTCAATTCCAGAAAAATAAACGACCCAATCAAAAAGTGGGCCAAAGAACTAAACAGACATTTCTCCAAAGAAGACATACAGATGGCTAACAAACACATGAAAAGATGCTCAACATCACTCATTATCAAGTCCCGTTCAGTTCAGTTCAGTTCAGTCGCTCTGTCATGTCCGACTCTTTGCAATCCCAGCACACNAAAAGTCTACAAACAATAAATGCTGAAGAGGCTGCAGAGAAAAGGGAACCCTCTTACAGTGTTGGTGGGAATGCACATTGGTACAGCCAGTATGGAGAACAGTGTGGAGATTCCTTTAAGAGCCGGAAATAGAACTGTCATACGACCCAGCAATCCCACTCCTGGGCATACACACTGAGGAAACCAGAATTGAAAGAGACACATCCACCCCAATGTTGATCACAGCACTGTGTACAGTAGTTAGGACATGGAAGCAACGTACATGTCCATGAGCAGATGAATGGATAGGAAAGTACTGGTACATATACAGAATGGAATATTACTCAGCTATTAAAAAGAATGCATTTGAATCAGTTCTAATGAGGTGGATGAAACTGGAGACTATTATACAGAGTGAAGTAAGTCAGAAAGAAAAACACCCATACAGTATATTAATGCATATATATGGAATTTATAAAGATGGTAATGATGACCCTATATGCGAGACAGCACAAGAGACACAGATATAAATAGCATACTTTTGGACTCTGTGGGAGAAGCTAGGGGTGGGATGATTTGAGAGAATAGCATCGAAGCATGTATATTACCATATGTGAAATAGATCACCAGTCCAGGTTTGATGCATGAGACAGGGCAACCAGGGCCAGTGCACTGGGATGACCCTGAGGAAAGAGATGGGGAGGGAGCTGGGAGCAGGGTTCATCATTGGGGAACCATATACACCTGTGGGTGATTCATGTCAATGTATGGCAACAACCACTACAATATTGTAAAGTAATTAGCCTCCAATTAAAATAAATAAATTAATTGATAAAAGCATCTAGAGTAGAGGTTGGGCAAAATACAATATTAAAATACAAAAGACAATCAATTACAAAAATTA